TTGCAGAGAGCTGTAAACAACACATACATACTCCAGTGCAATAAAAACATGAAATAAAATTAAAACATGATACGTGTTACCATAGTACAAAAGCATAATAATTCTTACCTCCATCATATCAAGGAATCTCACTTCCTATAATAAAATGTGTATATTTTAAGGGTGATGAGCCACCATGTTATCAGTCCTTTATATGACTTCATTTGTGGGTTTAAACCTTCTTTCCTGTTTTGTTTGCTTGTTTGTTTTTTTCTTATTATATTCTTTTGTGTATTATGAGACATGGAAGGAAGGAACAACAACATCTAAAATCCAGCAATGGGATCACTAACAACTGTAGCCTAAAGCCTGGAAGAATAGCAGATGTTTGTGGCCCTTCAAAATGCCAACAGGGTGGGAGCCATCCAGATCTCATTGCAGAAACCAGGCAGAGTGACCAAAGAGGCACGTTTCTTAGGTTCTGATAGAAGACACTGTTGAAATGAAGGAACTTGGACCACACCCAGATTGGCTGGAAAGGTACCATGGCAGTTTTTAATCCTACTAAGCTGCCCAGAGTGATTGGTATGTGGTCAGTCCCAAAAATGTAAATTTAAAGTAAAATAAATATCCCTGAACTGGTCTGAAATAGCCAACTCTTTGGGACTTTCCTAAATTACAGCAAGGGTGTTGCCAATGCAATCTCTGATGGAGCACTGGTGCTAAAGAAAGGAATCATGTTTTACAAGAAAATGTGTGTACCTGAGAGAGAGTAGTGGTAGGCAGAAAAGGAAAGAATGAAATGAGGGTGGGTGGGTTTTCTTGAGATCCCCAAGAAAGCCAATTCATAAAAAAATATTGTCTGAAAATTCTGGTTTTTTCCCCTCCTGCTTCTGAAAGTATTCCTGCAGCTGCCTGTAGGCAAAATTTTATTCTGGTCATATCTGAAGGCCAAAAGCTCCAAACAAGAGGAAAGTTTGCCTCTAAGTTAGTCTACAATACTGTCGAAAATTTTGTTTGCATCCCAAGTGACTGCACTGAACTCCCTAGCAGAATTTCCTTTTAATTATTAATATGTTGCCAATGAGATGCTTTTCAGCACGGTTCATTGCTAAGGGCTGGCATAAATAAGGAGCCTCAAGTTTTGCCACCAGCAAACCATTTTCAGTGAGGAAAATAATTAGGAGCTTTATAAGTAGCAATAAAGTTTCCCAAATATTTGTATTCCAGAGTAGTTGAATGGCATGTATATTTAATAAATTATTATTATTATTCACAACACTTTGAAGTCATACCTGCCAGTTCTTTAGCAGGTATGTCCTTAAGTTCTTCCCAAAAACCTAAGATGTCATCATGTAATGTGTGCGAATCCAAGCAGTGTGGCCTTTTGCGTTTGACAAATGGAAATTTTGTTAAATTTTTATTGTGGTTTCTTTCACACAGTCAGCCAGATGTTAGATTGGGTTTTGGCATTTTTATCCGTATATGGAGATGTAGAAATAAAGAACTATAATCTTTAAGAAACATTTTTATTTACAACATTGGGTATTGCATCCATTTTCAATATAGTTACTATAAATTCATTCAAAACAACACAGTATAATTGTGGACATATCATATTTCTCAAGCAAGGCAATAATCAGAGGCTTAATATATCTTTTTCTACAATGTCCCATCAAATACAAGTTTAAATACTATGCCTTCTATCTATTTCTAGGGAAAGGAAAGAGGGTTTCACAGGGTGCCACATCCTTTAATTCTACTGTGGCTTGGTATATGTGCCACTAGGAGCCACGCTGGAGGGTTCTAATAGAGATGATACCATAGCCGTAGCAGGATATTAATGTTTAAGCAGCACACAAACTGGTACCCACATATAGATCTCTTTGCAAAAGTGGAAATGATCTGAAAAAAGATGGCGAGCAGATTCAATCAATTCATGAAATGAATCCTATGCCTCAGGTAATGAAATTGGAAGAGTAGGACCAAGCCCTACTTCCTGTACTTTCCAGGATCATTACTTTCCTTCCCAATACTTCTTTCTGATATCTCAGATCTGTGGAATATTTTGCAAAGCACTTCTCTAAATTTCTCAAAGTAAGGTAAGAGCTAGGGTCTGCTTGACCTAGATGGCTTGCTCAGAGGAGATGCTAAAACTGGAATGTTGTAGTTGTAGTAGTAAGTTTGTTGTAGTAAGAAACCAGTTCAATGTGCTTACTGAACAGGAGATAGTAGGTCATATTTGGAGGTATTTAGTATTTAGATTGCTACTTGCAGAGAGTACAATAGCTCATAAAGGATGCAACCTAATAAAATGAGAAACACATAGGTTTTGGGACATTCTTTGCAGGAAGCTACAAATTAAGTAAATGCTAAAAGCCAATGATCCAGCACCTGGGTTTTGTAGACCACCATAGGGCCTTAACAAAACTTATTCATTGGTTCCACCCCTGTTGAACATAGACATATCCTGGTCAGTGGTGGGATTCAAATTTTTTTACTACTGGTTCTGTAGACATGGCTTGGTGAGCATGGCAGGGGAAGGATACTGTAAAATATCCAGTCAGAGGTGGTATTTGCCAGTTCTCCGAACTACTCAAAATTTCCACTACCGGTTTTCCAGAACTGGTCAGAACCTGCTGAATACCACCTCTGATCCTGGTCCTTTCCTGAAAAAGTTGTGTGCTTCTCATTCTTCATGACCTGATGGACACCATTTCACCAGAACATTTTCATCAGTAACACTTTCTCTGAGTTCTTGAAAAGTCCTAATTGTGTGTCATCAGTGATAGTATCTAGCCATCTTGTTTTTATCAACCTCCCTTTTTTTTTACTGTTGTTGATTTTTCCAAGCATTAGAATATGTTCTAACTATGCTTATTCTCATATTATATGTCTGAGATGTTAGTGGATTGATTTCCTCTCTATTTGCAGATGGTCTCTTATGCACATGCACATGCAGATACACATACACATGCATGTATACATACAAATATACAGCGAACTATAACCAGAAACACTGGCATCTTTAGTTGTGGGGAAAGGTGGAGGAAAGATAATGTAACTGACGCTCCAGACCATAAGACTCACCTAGCTTTTGGGGAGGAAAACAAGGGGAAAAAAAAAACTGCTTTTGCCTCCCAGCAATCTGTCTCTTGCAGCAAACAGCAAACAGCCTGGTCAGCTTCAGCACAGCCTGATTTAGCATGAGCAGCTCATTGGCAGTTGGATCGACCTCCCGAAATACCGCCGATCAGCTGTTCTGGGCTGCGGCGATTGCCGCCACCTATTGCCACCTATGCATGCCCCATTTTCGGCCTCCGCACATCTCATTTTTGGCCTTCACGTGTTCCATCTTTGGCCCATTCCAGGCGGTGGGGATTGCTGCAACCGCTGCATATCACCACCAAACAGTGGTGGTGGTGGAGATTGGCAGCAATAGGCAGCAGCAGTGATTTCCACTGCCTGGAATGGGCCAAAAATGGGATGCGTGGAGGCCAAAATGGGGTGCGTGGAGGCGGCAATAGGTGGCAATCCCCACACACTGGAACAACTGATCGGCGGTATTCCAGGAGGCTGATCCAACCGCCAATCAGCTGCCCGTGCTAAATCAGGCAGTGCTGAAGCTGATCAGGCTGTCTGCTGTTTGCTGCAAGAGGCAGATTGCTGGGAGGCACAAGCAGATTTTTTTTTCTTGTTTTCCTCCCCAAAAGCTAGGTGAGTCTTATAGTCTGGAGTGTCTTATAGTGCAAAAATATGTTAAATGTATAAAAATGGAATTCTGGCTAACTGTTAGACTGGTCACAATTTAAACGTCTAAATAAAAAAATACTTGGCTCCATTTGTTCCGAAAGGTGTAGT